GCTAGGTGGTGGCAAGGGAGAGGGCAACATACACAAACGATTCTTGGATCTGTCTGTGCGGAATTCGAAGTGTCACCTCCCGCGTGTGCGTGGTGGAGTTTCTCGGAGTTGCTCTCGCAAGCAGCCACACTCTCATTGGTGGAATTCATGGCCAAGTGCCCAAAGGCAGCAGCACGCGCCTCAGAAGGAGTCTTGCGACTCGGTGAGGCTGTCCGGTCTAAATAAATAAATTAAAGGCACCATTTAATTATTTGTATTTGTCACAGGTGGAGGTGTGGATGTGAGCGATGTTGCTGTGTGATATATGATGTGTGATGGGGTGTACGAATTACTGCTGGTCACAGTCCCTGTACAAAATGTACACCAACCACTGCACCCCCCCCCCCCCCCAGCCACGTTTCCACCCCCATACGAAAGACGTCGTGCCATCCGATTAAGCACAACCCTGCCAAGCCACGGCCTCGCCCCCCAACCCCCCCCTCCCCCGAGTTTGCCAGACCATGCTCCCTGGACAGAAGCTTCATTCTTCTTCTTCTTTTAGATTAGATGTTTTATTTTTTACCTACGTGACTTTACCGAATAGAACCAAAGAGTATGGATCCTTGCAGTCACGAAAGCTTCAAATCTAGAATAGATGTACTCATGTCTGATATGGCTGTTGTTCGCGATTGCACGCAATAAAAACAAGGAGCGGTAGTGATGGCTGATGTGTGAGGGGTGTAGGAGTGATGGCTGATGTGTGAGGGGTGTAGGAGTGATGGTTGATGTGTGAGGGGTGTAGGAGTGATGGTTGATGTGTGAGGGGTGTAGGAGTGATGGTTGATGTCTGATGGGTGTAGGAGTGATAGTGATGGCTGATGCGATGGTTATGGGTGGAGTGAGGGTTGATCTGTGAAGCCAGTAGATGGTGGCTATGCACGTGGCCTGTAGTCCAGCACTATGGAGGCTTCAGCTAGGGTTGGTGGATCACCGCACAGATGTTGCGAAGCTCCCTTCCCACGAGCGTCGAGGAGGTGCCATACCCCTGGCTCAACACAAGGCCATACAGCCATGTGCGGACTTACATCACGTCCCTTCCGTATGGGATAGAGCGTTGTTCCCTCGCACGCGTGGGTTTTCTCCGGGCGCTCCGGTTTCCTCCCACATGCATGAACACTCATTGGTTGAAACCATCTTAACATGTAGAGGACCGCAGGGCTTTGCCAATTGTTGGTAGCGGCGGCTCCTCGCCGGGTAGCTGCTGCTGATGTCGCCCTTCCGCTCCTCGACTGTGCTTCCTCCTCCTGACGCCTCTTGGGTCGTCCTCTTGACGAGAGCGAGCGAACTCTGCGTGGCGGTGGCGTTTATTTGGCAATATGTATTGTTTTAATAATGATAAAGTTACGTTGAGTTGCATGTCGTGCACAGTTGCAACAAGTTAACGATGACATTGAGACGCAAACAATACAACTCCTGTATGTAACTATATTTATTCGGCCGTGTCGGGTGGAGGAGGGGTGTACGACACACATTGGCACTGTGCTCACGCAATCCCACCCCCCCCCCCCAAAATAGCAATTATGAATCAAAACTTTGTCGCGAAAGCAGACGTGGTGGAAACAATGAGATGATGGTGATGTTTGTAGCTGACCGGGCTGACCCGTGAGGGGGGCGCGGCGAGGGGGTGGAGGGGTCCGTGACCAATCTCACCATTCCATTCCAGAGCCCAATATCTGCTGCTGCTGCCGCCGCCGCTAAAGATAGACGCGGCGCCTTTGCTCCAGCAATTAAAACGGCGCCTAGGGGCAGCCTGGGACTGTTTTGGGATGGGGTGGGAGGGGGTCTGTGAGAGTGGGGGCAGGTGGCAGTAGATTCCGTCGTGGTGGGGGGGGGGGAAGTGACGCCTGCACAACTCTCGCGGAAAGAGGGAAGGCTCGGAGCGAGATTCCTCGATGTTGTCATCTCAGGCTTCATGAGCACTGCCAGTGGAGGAGGCTCCATCCAGGGGGCGTCGCTCTGACCTCGCTATCCCATGGCTGGGCCAAGGTCCCGTCCGTGGGCCAAATGTTGTGGCTTGGCTCTCCAACACACCGCTGACGAATTGGCCACGTTCTGTTTACGTGACAACCCTTACTAGTTGGCTGTGTCGGGTGGTGGCGGGTTTTAATGACACATCTATATATTTACGCGATCTAACCCAAAAAAAACCCTCTCATGGATGATATTGGTTGCGAAAGCCTTCTGCGTGTTAAACTGCGAATGTTGTATTAATTAATTTGAATTATCCAGGAAAACTGCACTGAGTCACAGGAATCCTTTTTTCAGGAGGGGTTGCTACCTTGAATTTATTTGTAATTTTTAATGTGTTTCCATGCAATTATTTCTGAGTATTGCTAATTACACACGTGGGAGGAAACCGGAGTAGCCGGGGGAAACCCCGCGCGCGCCATGGGGGCAGCGCTCTATCCCCGTACAGATAGAAACAGATGGCGATTAGTCAACTTGCTGTGCCGCCTTCTCCTGGCGAACCAGGGTGCAAGCACCTCCTCGACGCGCACGGGAAGGGAGTTGCACCACGTGCGCGTACGGCGTTCCACCAGCCCTCGCTGCTACCTCCACACTGCTGGACTACAGGCAGCAGCAAGCCACGTGCAGCGTAGCCCACTACCACGGCCCGCCTGTTGATGTTCGTAATAGTTTTTTTTTTAAGACGACAACTGTCAGAATTAAACTCGAGTTGTTTTAAAGTCACGTGTAACTGGTGATTTGTAACTCTGGCGTCTGCTGGCCGGGTCGCCCTTGACAGAGGAGCTGTGTTGCTCGGTGGCTGCCCCGGGCAATTCAATTCTGGCCACTCCTTTTGAATCCTGATGGAGTGCGGCGTTTAGTCTCGCTCCACGAGCCCTGTGCCGCTTGCTCCTTCCTGGAAGTCTTGAGGCCACGAGGCTCTTCCCCCACCGCGATCCTGCGGGGGACCTCATGGGGGGGGGGGGGTAGAGATAGGAGTCGCTCTCTTCGCGGGCTCATGGAGCCCGACTATGGCCCTGCGTCCCGTGTCCTCTTTGACAAGAAGAGGGGGCTCTCATGTTCGCGGGCACAGGGGTCCCCTTGTCCGTGGTGGTGGGGGGGGGGGGGGTAGGGCAGGGGAGGGGCTATTTGGGGTCCCATAGAATACCCCTCGGGCACCACTGGGAACAGACCCCGCATTGAGTCGTGGGGGTCTTGGTGGAGGATGGGGGAGGAGAGGGGTCAGGAGCGGGGAGTCACCTCGCTCCTGTGGTGGGGAGGGGGGAGGCGGGAAGGCGCTGGGGGGGGGGGGGGTGGTGCCAGGGACCTAACCGACTTCCTGCCCTGCAGCGGTTGTGATCACAGTGAGATGTTTCCAGGAATGGCGAGGAATGGAGTTGGGGGAGCGAGGGGCGAGAGAAGGGAGACTCTGAGATGATCCAGATGGGCTGATCCAGACGTGGGTCATCGAGTAATAGGGTGCTGGGGTGATGGGATGAGGTGGGATGAGACGATGAGATTGTGTTGCGATGTAGTGAGATGACGCAGAGTGATGGGAGGAGCTGATGGGATGGATTGAGGCGAGTGCTATAGCCATGAACTGCGCAGGGATGCCACTGGCCAGACCAGAGAGGGGGGTGGGGGGCTCAAGCCCGAGCTATGAAGAACAGTCACGACATTTGATGCGGGGGGGGGGGGGGTGCACCCTACGAAGACCCATGCCAACCACGCTCCTCTCCTGGTTTAGAAGATCAAATGAGCTGATGAGTTGAGATGATGCGATCAGACGATAATGGGATGAGATGAGTTGAGATGATGCGATCAGACGATAATGGGACGCGACGGCGAGTTAATGTGAGATTATAAAATGGGATGCTGCGCGGATGAGTTTGAGATGATGGGGCGAGCTGAGCCGCTGTGATGGGGAGAGTTGGTGGAGAGACGGCAGAAGGCGCGGCGCTAGGGCGCGTGTTGGTGTTGGTGGTGCCGCCCTGCAGAGATTGTCGACACCGCTCCCCTACTCGACTCGAGAAGGGGGGGCGGGGTGAGGGGGCTGCATCTGGGGACCCTCTAACCCCCTCCTGTAACCCCCTCGTGTAACCCCTCATGTAACCCCCTCGTGTACCCCCTAGTGTAACCCCCTAGTGTAACCCCCTCCTGTAACCCTCTTGTGTAACCCCCTCCTGTACCCCCCTCCTGTACCCCCTCCTGTACTCCCTAGTGTAACCCCTCGTGTAACCCCTCCTGTAACCCCCTCCTGTACCCCCTAGTGTAACCCCCTTGTGTAACCCCTCCTGTACCCCCTCCTCTCCCTCCACCTTCTCGGGGTGGCTCGAGGAAGCTCTTTGAGTGAAATTAAAGATTTCGTCATCACGGACACCGCGGTTGATACGGCCACATCCCGCCATCACTTCCTTCCTTCTGGCAGAACCGAAGCAGTTCCACAGTCGACGCCGCATGAACTCCCTCCCCCACCTCGTGGCATTCTACACTTACCTTCACCACCATGAGCGTTGCTCAATCCACTGCTGGATGAAGGCTTCCCCAACCCACTGCCATCTCCCACGATCATGCGATGTAATAATCCACGTGTTCTTATATCCCCCACGTACCCCTGTCTCCCCGAGACCCCTGTCTCCCCCAGACCCCTGTCTCCCCCAGACCCCTGTCTTCGCCAGACCCCTGTCTCCCCGAGACCCCTGTCTCCCCCAGACCCCTGTCTCCCCCAGACCCCTGTCTCCCCGAGACCCCTGTCTCCCCCAGACCCCTGTCTCCCCCAGACCCCTGTCTCCCCCAGACCCCTGTCTCCCCCAGACCCCTGTCTCGCCCAGACCCTGTCTCCCCCAGACCCCTGTCTCCCCCAGACCCCTGTCTCCCCCAGACCCCTGTCTCCCCCAGACCCCTGTCTCCCCTAGACCTCTGTCTCCCCTAGACCCCTGTCTCTCGGACCCATTGGGACCACGTTGCAGAAGTGAGACAAGAGTCAATGTGTAGAGTTCGCACCGTCACCATCATCATCATCACTCTTCCTTTAATCCTCTATTCTACTCGGTGAATAATCGCGCGGGGGAGGGGAGGGGGGGGGCGTACGCGTCAAGGGGGTGATCGTGTGGGGGCTGGGTGGGGGGTAAGCTGCATCATCGTCAAATTATTTCGTGGGGGGTGGAGGTGGAGGAGGTTACAGAAACTCCTCGGTGTGAGAATCAAACCGCTACAAAACACACGACCGATCCGCGGCTCTACCCCCCCCCCCTCTCTCTCTTGGGGGGGGGGCCGGGGGAGAAAGGAAAAGGGGCGGGGGCGCGGCTCCAGGCCGCCCGACGGTGGGGGGCGCGGTGAGTGCGAGTGGGGAGGGGGGTCAGGAGGAAGATGTTGCCAGTGGTGTCATTGCAGCTTGGTGAGCGTCCCGTGAAGGAGTCAATCTGAGCGACGTTTGGTGAGGTTCATCCGGAGTGCGTGCTCGCTCCTCTGTGCTTGTGCCACTGTACACGCGTGTGCCCAAGTCCGCGAGTTCCCGAGTCTCCAAGTCCCCGTGTCTCCCCGTGTCTCCGTGCTGTCACGTCTCCGTCCCCGTGTCTCCATCCCCACGCATCCGTGTCTGTGTCTCTCCGTCACCCCATGTCTCCGTGTCCCCGAGTCTCAGTGTCCTCGTGTCCCCGTGTCCCCGCGTCTCCACGTCGTCTCCGCAGCTCAGGAGGAGCTGTACTTGTGGCTGGAACGCGTCGTGCTCCGCTCGGAGCCCCCCAACTCGGGGGGTCCCCGCCCCCTCCACTTGCTGTAGAAGACCTTGTTCCGTGGGCCAGGGCCCCCCAGCAGGGCATTGCCCTCGCACCAGCAGCACAGGCAGGACTGGGGGGGGGGTGGGGTGGGGGTAGAGGGGGGTCACTCGCTGGTCGTCCACGAGGCTGACCCCGACTCTCCATCGTGCGCCCAGACTCCACATCTACCCCCTCGCCAAGTGATCGACTCCGGCCCCGAAACGATGATATTAATTTCATTATAAATGACTTTGCTTAGCCGGGGGTCCTGCTGCCACATTGGGTTGTTATTTGTAAGACGTTTTCAACCAATCAATGGGAAAGCGGAGCACCCGGGAAAACCCCACGCCTTGTGCGAGGCAGCAACACTCTATCCCCGGACAGATAGAAACATATGGCGATTAGTCCACTTGCTGCGAGCCGGGGTATAGCAACTCCCTCGGCGCCCGCTTTAAGGGAGTTTCACAGCATCTGCGTGATGAAATTTTGACTTTAAAACTTTCGTGACTGCAGGAATTCATATTCTGTTTTTTTTTTCTGTAAATTCTAGATTTGAAGCTTTCGTGACTGCAAGGATTCATACTCTTTGGTTTTTTCGGTAAAGTCACGTCGGTAAAAAATCAATACAATAAAATAAATGAAAACAACTAAATTAAATCACGACGTTTCGGAGGCAACACAAGCTTCCGTCTTCACTTGATACAGCAATTTTGCTGTGACGGTTTCCACCTGAAGATGGAAGCTTGTGTTGCCTCCGAAACGTCGTGATTTAATTTAGTTGTTTTCATTTATTTCATTGTATTGATTTTTTACCTACGTGACTTTACCGAAAAAGCCAAAGAGTATCTTTCGGTAAAGTCACGTAGATAGAAAAATGAATTAAAAAGTTGATAAAAAATAAACACTAATGTAGATTAGCCTGGTTCTTAATCGGAGTGAGTGTACTGGTAATCTATAATGTATACTGTAACCTGGTTATTAAGTTTGGTGAGTCTATGCTACAGTCTACATTATAGACTACCAGTACACTCACTCCGATTAAGAACCAGGCTACAGTCTACATTCGTGTTTTTGGGGGGTTTATTTTTTTATTCACTTTTTTTTAATCTACATGACTTTACCAAAAGAACCAAAAGAATATAACATCTGCGTGGTGATCCACCAACCCCTCCCTGCTGCCTCCACAGTTGTGGAACACGGCGGCCGCGTGCAGCGTAGCCACCAACCACTACTCGGCTGTTAATGTTCATGAGCGTGCTTAAGACGACACTCTCACAATTAACTCGAGTTGTTGTTTTTCTAAGTCACGTGGCAACTGGCGAGTGAGCCATGGGTGAGTGAGTCTGAGTGAGCCATGGGTGAGTGAGCCAGGGTGAGTGAGTCTGAGTGAGCCATGGGTGATTGAGCCATGGGTGAGTGAGCCGGGGTGAGTGAGTCCGAGTGAGCCATGGGTGAGTGAGCCATGGGTGAGTGAGTCCGAGTGAGCCATGGGTGAGTGAGCCGAGGTGAGTGAGTCCGAGTGAGCCATGGGTGAGTGAGCCGGAGTGAGTGAGCCATGGGTGAGTGAGCCGGGGTGAGCCGGGCGGGGTGAGTCGTGGCTGCTCACCTTGAAGCAGTTCTTGAATCTCTTGCTCACCAGGTAGAGGGCAATGGGATTGATGCAGGAGTTGATGCAGGTCATGTTCACCCCCACGTAGTCCAGCACCAGCAGCGAGCTGTGGGGGCAAACCGGGGGTCACAGAGAGCACTTCCTGACGAAGGAGGGGGGGGGGTAGGGAGGGGGCGGGGCTCTAATTCTGGGTGAGTCCAGGACATGACCCCTGGACCGCACTCGGGTCAAAAGCCTCACCCTAGGGTCATCCCCCCAGAGAGTGGGGGGCAGTGGGGGGCAGTGGGGGTTGTGGCAAGGAGTGCTGAGGTCTCGCGTGGGACCCCAGCGAGAGGTATCTGCAGTGGAGGAGAGAGAAGGGCAGAGGGAGAGCGATGAGCTGGAATTGGAGGGTGACGGCAGGGTGGGGAGAGTGATGAGGTGTGAGAGGAGGGTGGAGGTTGGGTGAGAGAGTGATGAGGTGAGAGAGTGATGAGGTGTGAGAGTGATGAGGTGTGAGAGGATGGTGGAGGTTGGGTGAGAGTGTGATGAGGTGAGAGAGTGATGAGGTGAGAGGGGAGTGCGGAGGTTGGGTGAGAGAGTGATGAGGTGAGAGAGTGATGAGGTGAGAGAGTGATGAGGTGAGAGAGTGATGAGGTGGGAGAGGAGGGTGGAGGTTGGGTGAGAGAGTGATGAGGTGAGAGAGTGATGAGGTGAGAGAGTGATGAGGTGTGAGAGTGATGAGGTGTGAGAGGAGGGTGGAGGTTGGGTGAGAGAGTGATGAGGTGAGAGAGTGATGAGGTGTGAGAGTGATGAGGTGAGAGAGTGATGAGGTGGGAGAGTGATGAGGTGGGAGAGGAGGGTGGAGGTTGGGTGAGAGAGTGATGAGGTGAGAGAGTGATGAGGTGTGAGAGTGATGAGGTGAGAGAGTAATGAGGTGTGAGAGTGATGAGGTGGGAGAGTGGGCGGGGTGGGGGGAGACCTGAGGAGGTCGCAGCGTCCCGGGTCCACGGCGCTGTAGACGGAGTTCTTGAGAGTGCGGCTCAGGTGCAGGGGGAACCAACAGACGGCGAACACCAACACCAGGCAGAAGACTGTCTTGGCGACCTCGCGTCGCTGCATTCACCACACACACACACAGCCACAATCACCACACACACACAGCCACAATCACCACACACAGCCATAATCACTACACACACACAGCCACAATCACCACACACACAGCCACAATCACCACACACACACAGCCACAATCACCACACACACACAGCGACGATCACCACACACACACAGCCACAATCACCACACACACACAGCCACAATCACCACACACAGCCACAATCACCACACACACACAGCCACAATCACCACACACACAGCCATAATCACTACACACACAGCCGCAATCACCACACACACAGCCATAATCACTACACACACAGCCACAATCACCACACACACAGCCACAATCACCACACACACAGCCACAATCAACACACACACAGCCACAATCACTACACACACACAGCCACAATCACCACACACACAGCCACAATCACCACACACACACAGCCACAATCACCACACACACACAGCCACAATCACCACACACACACAGCCACAATCACCACACACACACAGCCATAATCACCACACACACACAGCCACAATCACCACACACACACACAGCCACAATCACCACACACACACAGCCACAATCACCACACACACACACACAACCACAATCACCACACACAGCCACAATCACCACACACACAGCCACAATCACCACTTACACACAGCCAGAATCACCACACACACACAGCCACAATCACCACACACACACAGCCATAATCACTACACACACAGCCACAATCACCACACACAGCCACAATCACCACACACACACAGCCACAATCACCACACACACACAGCCACAATCACCACACACACACAGCCACAATCACCACACACACAGCCATAATCACTACACACACAGCCACAATCACCACACACACAGCCATAATCACTACACACACACAGCCACAATCACCACACACACAGCCACAATCACCACACACACACAGCCACAATTACCACACACACAGCCACAATCACTACACACACACAGCCACAATCACCACACACACAGCCACAATCACCACACACACACAGCCACAATCACCACACACACAACCATAATCACCACACACACACAGCCACAATCACCACACACACAGCCATAATCACCACACACACACAGCCACAATCACCACACACACACAGCCACAATCACCACACACACACAGCCACAATCACCACACACACAGCCACAATCACCACACACACACAGCCACAATCACCACACACACACAATCACCACACACACACACAGCCACAATTACCACACACACACACAGCAACAATCACAACACACACACAGCCACAATCACCACACACACAGCCATAATCACTACACACACACAGCCACAATCACCACACACACTGCCACAATCACCACACACACACAGCCACAATTACCACACACACAGCCACAATCACTACACACACACAGCCACAATCACCACACACACAGCCACAATTACCACACACACACACACAGCCACAATCACCACACACACAGCCACAATCACCACACACACAGCCACAATCACCACACACACAACCATAATCACCACACACACACAGCCACAATCACCACACACACACAGCCATAATCACCACACACACACAGCCACAATCACCACACACACACAGCCACAATTACCACACACACACAGCCACAATCACCACACACACAGCCACAATCACCACACACACACAGCCACAATCACCACACACACACAATCACCACACACACACACAGCCACAATTACCACACACACACAGCAACAATCACAACACACACACAGCCACAATCACCACACACACAGTCACAATCACCACACACACACACAGCAACAATCACCACACACACACAGCCACAATCACCACAACAACAACAACAATCGCCATTCGCCACTAAGTGGCGGTGACGTCACCACGACGCTTGTGCCAGGCCATGTGCACCTTGAGGCCACGTGAAGTGTCGAACGCCCGCGGGCAGGAGGTCACGGGGCAGACCCAGGTGCCACGGGTCGGCTGACTGAGATGACTGGCTGGTGCACCACCTGTGCCCCCTACTGTGCCAATCTGCTGTGCTTTAGCCACCCGGCGCTCCGCTCGCTGTTGTGAGCGTCGCTCCTCCGCCCTCCGTTGTTGTTGGAGGGCGACTACCTCCAACTGCCCAATAGCGTCCTTCACGAGCCTTATCCACAGAGGACGATCTTGACACCGCTGGAACCAGTAATCGGCAAGTCCACTCAGCTCCACGTCCTCCTGTACCACATCACTCCATCTCTTCTCTAGCCCGTGCCGCGCCCGTTTAGCCCCCTCGATCCGGTAGAACAAAAGTTGTTTCGGCATGCGGTGGCTGGGCATGCGGGCTACATGACCCAGCCAACGCAGCCTTGCCTGCCGGAGGAGCTCACCGATGGGACCTAGCCCAGATCTTTCAAGGATTTGTGAGCTCCTCACACAATCCAGCCTGGTTAAACCCAGGATGGATCGTAGGCAGGCCAGCCTAAATGTTTCCAACCGGCGAAGATGCTCCATTAGGGGGGTCCACGTTTCGCAAGCGTAGAGAAGGGAGGGAATGACCGTGGCCGAGAAGACCTAAAGCTTACTGCGGAGCGACAGACCAGGTAGCTTCCACACAGCGTTACGCAACCGATGAAAAGATATTGCCGCTCAAATGATTTGGAGTGAGACCTCTGCTGTTAAACTGGAGCCGGTCATAAGCACACTGCCCAAGTATGGGAAACTCTCCACTCTCTCCACAACTGCCCCATCACCGATTGGGAGTTGTGGGGGTGGAGTGTCCGATGGTTCAAAATACCCAGGCAGGTGCTTAGTTTTGGTGGGGCTGATGGTAAGGCCCCATCTCTTAGTGGCACGCTCCAGTCTCAGCAGCAGCATCTCCAACTCCTCCTGTGAATGAGCAGCTATTACCACATCATTGGCATACATAACGTGGTTGAGCAATAGGGAGCCATCCCTTGACAGCACCCGGGCATCGATCAGCCTCCCATTATATCTGTACCAAATGGAGATTCCCCCGGTACAGCTATTGAAGGCTTCACGAACTACGTGGTCAAAATAGATGTTAAATAATGTGGGAGCCAGAGGACATCCCTGTCGCACCCCAAGGTGTACAGGGAATGGCTCTGACTCCCGGCCACGTAGTTTTACCCGGGCCCGCTCACCACCATGAAGGTCATTAATGATCGTGAACAGAGGGTCAGGGACTCCAAAAGCACGAAGAACAACCCAGAGCCCAGGCCTACTGATGGTATCATAGGCCTTGACCAGTTCAATAAAGCAGAGATGTAGGTCTTGTTGGAATTTCTAACACCTCTGCTGTAGCAGACAGACAGAAAATATGGCATCTGTGCAGGACCGCCCTTTCCTGAAACCGCATTGGGGCTCCACAAGCCTCTCCTCAGCGTGCCTGGCAAGGCGATGTTGAATAATCCTTGCCAGGACCTTTCCCGGCACACTGAGGAGTGAGATGCCCCTGTAGTTGTTACAGTCTGTGCGGTCCCACTTCTTAAAGAGGGGGACCACCAGGGCATCCTTCCAATCCTGGGGAACCCGTCCAGTGGTCCAGACTGTTGTTATGATGTCATATAGGGCAGTCTGTGCACAAACGCCACCATCCCTCAGCATTTCCCTTGGGAGATCATCTCTGCCCGCTGCCTTTCCTGGTCTCAAACTCCGGATCGCCTTCAGTACTTCCTCAACAGATGGTACTTCAGCCAGCCACTCACGGGGGTGACTTCTTCCAATATTTGAGGTACCGCAGCTTCAGCAGGGTCATCCTCAATTTGTGCCACGATGTTGTCCTGACTGAGGGATTTTCCCTCACCCAGGACCTCACAGAAATGCTCAGCAAATCTGCAAACCTGTTCCTGGGGGTCGGAGATTGGACCACCGTTTTTTCCCCTAATGATGGTAATAGGTGTGGTGCTGCAGGTTACTTTTTTGATTGAGTTAAATAGAGTTTTGTGATGGTGGGCCACTAAGGCAGACTCCATCTCCTTAGCAACCTGCGACCACCACCCATCCTTGCAGCGCCTCACGGCTCTCCGAACCTCCGAGCGAAGGCTGCGGTAAGCCTCCTTATTCTCTGACGTGGGATTCTGTAGCCGATGACAGTGGGCCTGTCGCTTTTTCTCAACTATCCTGAACACCTCCTCTGTCAGCCAGGGTATCTGGGGAGGTCTGGACCACGTTCCCAAAGCAGCTATTGCAGCTGCATGAGTCACAGTCCTAAACCTCGCCCATTTACCCTCGACATCAGGAGGAGTGCGGGACGATGCCAACCCCAGCCGCAAGCGATGATGAAATTCTTGCTTGCAACTTTCATCAGATAACTGAGACCAGGCCACTTTAGGTTGGAATGGGGTCCTGGGTGTACACCCACCACCGGAGTGGAAGGATGGTCAGAGGGCAGATCAGCTCCACGGTAGGTCCTGGTGTCAAGGACATGGGCTCGCATCCACTGGTCCGTCACTATGTAGTCCAGCAGATGTTCTTGCTTTGACCCGGCATGCATCCATGATATTGTGTGGATGTGCCGATGCCGGAACGGCGTGTTGGTAATTACAAGCCCATGGGCTGCACAAAAATCTAGCAGCCTCCTACCGTTGTTATTGAGCTGATCTGGCCCATGCCCTCCAATCACCCCAGACCAGTGCATTGAAGTCACCCAACAAGATGACTCTATCCCGAGGGGCCACTTTAGCCAGCACCTGTGACAGGGGATCATAGAAGGCATCTGACTCATCTGGTTTGCCTGCATCCCTCCACGGATGTTCATCTTCGGTGGGGGCATAAGTAACCACGACCACCACTCCTCGCCTCCGGTTGATGGGAAGGCGTGCCCAAAGTAGCCTGGGGCTTACAGCTTCCCACACCTCACTGCCATGCTCCCACGCCCCCTTCATTATTTTGTTCATAAGAAGAGCCACACCCTGTTGTTTGGCAGTCTCCTGCCCCGAGTAGAGGACGGTCCACCCCTCATGGTGGCAATAGCCAGAACCGGTCCACCTGACCTCCTGAATGCCACAGAGATCTAGGCGGTACCGGTCCAGCTCCCGACAGAGCAGTAGCAGCCTCTCCTACGCAGTGAGCGTTCGAACATTCCACGTGGCCATCCGTAGTGGCTTTTCGTTGTTTCTGGAGGAGCCCCTAGGGTAGAGATTCAATCTCCTGGCTCCGCCAAATGGGGTTTGGCCAGGAGACATCATTGACGCCTGTCCCCCCGGGGCCTCCGGCACAAGCTTATTAGTTACATATTTTATTCGTGGTTGAGTGGTAATTTATTGAAGGTGGAGGGGTTACCAGCCCCTCGCACCCGTCCAGAGCCCCTGTTTAGCCACTGTGGTGGACACAGACGCCATGAGGGGAGGAGCCAATCCGAATTGGCCCTCCCCCACAGCACTGTCCACGACAGAGTTGCCCGTCCGGCACCGCGAGGAGGTAGGGGGTTGTTTTGCCGGACACAATCACCACACACACACAGCCACAATCACCACACACACACAGGCACAATCACCACACACACACAGCCACAATCACCACACACACAGCCACAATTAGCACACACACACAGCCACAATCACCACACACACAGCCACAATCACCACACACACACAGCCACAATCACCACACACACACAGCCACAATCACCACACACACAGCCACAATCACCACACACACACAGCCACAATCACCACACACACAAGGCCACAATCACCACACACACACATCCACAATCACTGCACATACACAGCCACAATCAACACACACACAGCCACAATCACCACACACACAGCCACAATCACCACACACAGCCACAATCACCACACACACAGCCACAATCACTACACACACAGCCACAATCACCACACACACAGTCACAATCACCACACACACAGCCACAATCACTACACACACAGCCACAATCACAACATACAATTACCACACACAATAACAGCACCGCCACAATAACCACGCACCAGAACCACACAGTAAACCACCAGGAGCAGATACAAAACCGCCAGAACTAGATACAGACCCCACCATCACCAGATATCGAACCACCAGATCAGATACCGAATCATCAGTAGCAGACACCGAACCATCATATCCAGATGCCGAAACGTCAAATCCAGATACTGAACCCAGCCACCGAACCATCAGTTCCAGATACCGAACCACCAGAACCAGATCGAGAACCACCATTGCCAAACCCCCACCGCCACCACCACTACCACCGACCCCACCGCCACCACCACGGCCACCACCACCGCCACCACCACCACCGACCCCACGGCCACCACCACCGCCACCACCGCCACCACCACCACCACCACCGCCACCACCGCCACCGCCACCACCGCCACCACCACTACCACCGACCCCACCGCCACCACCGCCGCCACCGCCGCCGCCGCCACCGCCACCGCCACCACCACCACCGCGGCCACCACCGCCACCACCACCGCCACCACCACGGCCACCACCACCGCCACCGCCACCACCGCCACCACCGCCACCACCACTACCACCGACCCCACCGCCACCACCGCCGCCACCGCCGCCGCCGCCACCGCCACCGCCACCACCACCACCGCGGCCACCACCCCCACCACCACCGCCACCACCACGGCCACCACCACCGCCACCGCCACCACCACCGTCACCACCACCACGGCCACCACCACCACCACTGCGCTGCACCTGCTTGAGGTGGTCGCTGAGCGAGAGGCGGAGGTCTCCGCGCTTCCGGCTGAGCATCTCGCACGCCATGAGCGAGTAGAAGGCGCCGGTGCAGGCGAGCGGCATGCAGTAGTAGAACCCCAGCAGCCACCAGTCCTTGGCCACCTTGTACACCTGGGCGGGCGGGCGGCACGGGTGGTGTTTGTTGTCGTGCCGGGATCGTGGTGAGGTGTCACACGGTGTGCTGTGTGTGGTGCGTGGCTCACGCTGTGCGGCTCGTGTTGTACCGTGTCACTGTGTCGGTGTCGCTGTGTCAGTGTCACTGCGTCACTGTGTCACCGTGTCAGTGTGTCAGTGCCACTGTGTCAGTGTGTCACCTTGTCAGTGTGTCAGTGCCACTGTGTCAGTGTGTCACCGTGTCAGTGTGTCAGTGCCACTGTGTCAGTGTCACTGTGTCAGTGTGTCAGTGCCACTGTGTCAGTGTCACTGTGTCAGTGTGTCAGTGCCACTGTGTCAGTGTCACTCTGTCAGTGTGTCAGTGCCACTGTGTCAGTGTCACTGTGTCAGTGTGTCAGTGCCACTGTGTCAGTGTCACTGTGTCAGTGTGTCAGTGCCACTGTGTCAGTGTGTCACCGTATCAGTGTGTCAGTGCCACTGTGTCAGTGTGTCACCGTATCAGTGTGTCAGTGCCACTGTGTCAGTGTCACTGTGTCAGTGTGTCAGTGCCACTGCGTCACTGTGTCACCGTATCAGTGCGTCAGTGCCACTGTGTCAGTGTGTCAGTGTGTCAGTGTCACTGTGTCAGTGTGTCAGTGCCACTGTGTCAATATGTCAGTGCCACTGTGTCAGGGTTTCAGTGTCACCGTGCCGTCAGTGTCACCACGTGACCCTGTCACCGTGCCGTCAGTGTCACCACGTGACCCTATCACCGTGCCGTCAGTGTCACCACGTGACCCTGTCACCGTGCCGTCAGTGTCACCACGTGACCCTATCACCGTGCCGTCAGTGTCACCACGTGACCCTGTCACCGTGCCGTCAGTGTCACCACGTGACCCTATCACCGTGCCGTCAGTGTCACCACGTGACCCTATCACCGTGCCGTCAGTGTCACCGTGCCGTCAGTGTCACCACGTGACCCTATCACCGTGCCGTCAGTGTCACCGTGCTGTCAGTGTCACCACGTGACCCTATCACCGTGCCGTCAGTGTCACCACGTGACCCTATCACCGTGCCGTCAGTGTCACCACGTGACCCTATCACCGTGCCGTCAGTGTCACCACGTGACCCTATCACCGTGCCGTCAGTGTCACCACGTGACCCTATCACCGTGCCGTCAGTGTCACCACGTGACCCTATCACCGTGCCGTCAGTGTCACCACGTGACCCTATCACCGTGCGTCAGTGTCACCACGTGACCCTGTCACAGTGCCGTCAGTGTCACCACGTGACCCTATCACCGTGCCGTCAGTGTCACCGTGCCGTCAGTGTCACCACGTGACCCTATCACCGTGCCGTCAGTGTCACCGCGCGCAACACGCAGCACACGCACGCGCATGAAGGCGCCGCTCTGCTGCGGCGCGAGCATGCAGGTGCGCAGGGTGACCCCGCGGTATTCCGAGACGAGGAGGTCGAAGCCGACGGCCTCAGGCGCCGCCAGCAGCAGCGAGAGCAGCCAGATGGCGACGATCTCGAGCGCCGTGCACACCGGGACGCCCATGCCCTGGATGCGGCTCCAAGACGCCACCGCGCGGTACCTGCGGCATAGCGGGGGGTGGTGGGGGGGGGGGGGTAGGTGAGTGGGTAGGTGAGTGGGTAGATGAGTAGGTGAGTGGGTAGATGAGTAGGTGAGTGGGTAGGTGAGTGGGTAGATGAGTAGGTGAGTGGGTAGGTGAGTAGGTAGATGAGTAGGTGAGTAGGTGAGTGGGTAGATGAGTAGGTGAGTGGGTAGGTGAGTGGGTAGATGAGTAGATGAGTGGGTAGATGAGTAGGTGAGTGGGTAGATGAGTAGGTGAGTGGGTAGGTGAGTGGGTAGATGAGTAGGTGAGTGGGTAGATGAGTAGGTGAGTGGGTAGGTGAGTGGGTAGATGAGTAGATGAGTGGGTAGATGAGTAGATGAGTGGGTAGATGAGTAGGTGAGTGGGTAGGTGAGTGGGTAGATGAGTAGGTGAGTGGGTAGATAAGTGGGTAGATGAGTAGGTGAGTGGGTAGGTGAGTGGGTAGATGAGTGGGTAGATGAGTAGATGAGTGGGTAGATGAGTAGATGAGTGGGTAGATGAGTAGGTGAGTGGGTAGGTGAGTGGGTAGATGAGTAGGTGAGTGGGTAGATGAGTGGGTAGATGAGTAGGTGAGTGGGTAGGTGAGTGGGTAGATGAGTAGGTGAGTGGGTAGATGAGTGGGTAGGTGAGTGGGTAGATGAGTAGGTGAGTGGGTTGATGAGTGGGTAGATGAGTAGGTGAGTGGGTAGGTGAATGGGTAGGTGAGTGGGTAGATGAGTAGGTGAGTGGGTAGGTGAATGGGTAGGTGAGTGGGTAGATGAGTAGGTGAGTGGGTAGATGAGTGGGTAGGTGAGTGGGTAGATGAGTAGGTGAGTGGGTAGATGAGTAGGTGAGTGGGTAGATGAGTAGGTGAGTGGGTAGGTGAGTGGGTAGATGAGTAGGTGAGTGGGTAGATGAGTAGGTGAGTGGGTAGGTGAGTGGGTAGATGAGTAGATGAGTGGGTAGATGAGTAGGTGAGTGGGTAGGTGAGTGGGTAGATGAGTGGGTAGATGAGTAGATGAGTGGGTAGATGAGTAGATGAGTGGGTAGATGAGTAGGTGAGTGGGTAGGTGAGTGGGTAGATGAGTAGGTGAGTGGGTAGATAAGTGGGTAGATGAGTAGGTGAGTGGATAGGTGAGTGGGTAGATGAGTGGGTAGATGAGTAGATGAGTGGGTAGATGAGTAGATGAGTGGGTAGATGAGTAGGTGAGTGGGTAGGTGAGTGGGTAGATGAGTAGGTGAGTGGGTAGATGAGTGGGTAGATGAGTAGGTGAGTGGGTAGGTGAGTGGGTAGATGAGTAGGTGAGTGGGTAGATGAGTGGGTAGGTGAGTGGGTAGATGAGTAGGTGAGTGGGTTGATGAGTGGGTAGATGAGTAGGTGAGTGGGTAGGTGAATGGGTAGGTGAGTGGGTAGATGAGTAGGTGAGTGGGTAGATGAGTGGGTAGGTGATTGGATAGATGAGTAGGTGATTGGGTAGACGAGTAGGTGAGTGGGTAGATGAGTGGGTAGGTGAGTGGGTAGATGAGTAGGTGAGTGGGTGAGTGAGTAGATGAGTAGGTGAGTGGGTAGGTGAGTGAGTAGATGAGTAGGTGAATGGGTTGATGAGTAGGTGAGTGGGTAGGTGAGTGGGTAGATGAGTAGGTGAGTGGGTAGGTGAGTGGGTAGATGAGTTGGTGAGTGGGTAGATGAGTAGGTGAGTGGGTAGGTAAGTACGTGAGTGGGTGAGTGGTAGTGGAGCGGTTAGCGCGCTGCGCTACGAACCTGCAGACCCGAGTTCGATTCCCGCTCACGGCCAACGCCAGTGACGATTATCTGAACCGCTCCTGGGCCTCCCCTAGGTAGATTCAGCCTCAAATGAATACAAATGAATAAACACCGCCACTGGAGAGACAAAGGCGGCCGGGCGTGGTGCTGGCCACCCACCCCCTGGTGTGCCGTGCCGGCCTTCATAGGTGCTCGCTAACGGCACTTGCCCCAACAGTCTGTTAAGGCGATACGGGGGATCTTTGTCTTTGTATAGGATATAATCAGGTGGATTAGTGAATATTGTAGTAGATTCAGTGAGGAGTTTGTAGGTGAATGGCTGAATAGGCGAATAGGTGGGTAAACTCGTGGGTTAAGCGAGTATGTGGGTAGGTGGGCAGGTATGTGAGTGAATAGGTGAGTGGGTAAACAGGTGAGCGAGTAGGTGAGTGTGTGGGTAGGTAAGTAAGTGGGTAGGTGAGTGAAGGTGTGAGTGTGTAGATAGGTGAGCGAGTAGGTGAGTGGGTAGGTAAACCCGTGGGTGTGTGAGCGGGTAGGAGCGGGCACCTGTCCACGCTGAGCGCGCACAGACTCAGCACCGTGATCCCCACGGACGCTTTTTGCACGAACGGCACCGCCTTGCAGAGTGCCACGCCGAACGGCCAATCCTCGGCCAGGAGCTGCGTCCCGTTGAGGCGTGGACAGGGGAGACACCACGGGTGAGCGGCGATAACGACCTCGGTGAGCTCGCCCACAGCCGAGACGCGCGAACCGCGACCGCACGGAAAGTCGTGAACACGCGGGGTGGCCCTGCCCGTGTGCCACTCGTGATCACGTGGGGTGGCCCTGCCCGTGTGCCACTCGTGATCACGCGAGGTGGCATTGCCCGTGTGCCACTCGTGAACACGTGGGGTGGCCCTGCCCGTGTGCCACTCGTAATCACGTGGGGTGGCCCTGCCCGTGTGCCACTCGTGAACACGTGGGGTGGCTCTGCCCGCGCGCCACTCGTGAACACGCGGGGTGACATGCCGAGTGCGATCCACGCCTCGTGACCGGGTTAGACCACGTGGCGGTAAATAGTTCTAGTCACTGACCATCCACCACCAGGCGACGAGATTTGTCACGGTTACATTCACATCGTCGATGTTATCGACCAAATTCTGACCTCACCGGTGACCAATCAAGACGTGACGTGCCTGGAACCAATTCTGAGCGACACACGGCGAATTTTCGCTCATTCTGCGCTCCTGCGAGCTTCAACAACAACAACATCGTCATCAGAGGCGGCGGTGCGGGGGGCGGAGGCAGGACAAGGAGTGAACTCGCAAGCGGCGAGAGAAAATCTCGCCTTGTACACCGACACGGGCAGCGCGATGACGATGTAGAGGAGGTCGCCCAGGGCCAGGCTGCCGATGAGCGCGTTGGGTCCGTTGCGCATCCGCTTGTTGCGCCAGATGATCCTGAGCAGCGTGGCGTTCCCCACGAGGCCCACCACGAAGACGGCGCTCGACACCGCCGTGTTCACCGCCTTGAACGTGCGACGGATCTCCAGCTGGCGCGCGCACGGAGCCCTCCACGGCGGCGGGCCCCGTGCGCGCGTCCCGTTCCCCGGGGCCCGGGGGATCACGCCGCCGCCGATAACGATGTTGCCGAAGCTGCCGCTGCTAACAATGTCGCTGCTATTGCTGCTGCTGCTGCTGCCGTTACCCTTGGCGATGCCGATGATTCTGGTTGCCGTCGGGTGCCCGGTTGAGCGAGGGATCGGGGGTTCCTCGGCAGAGGGGGTGGCGCCCCCCATTTGGGGGGCCGGCGTGGCGCCGGTGTCGTGGAGGGTCACTGCCTGCGCCCCGAGGCAGCTCAGCATGAGCATGATCAGCAGCAGCCCCGACATCGCCATCGTCATCAGCCGAGTAGCAGTAGCAGCAGCAGGAGGAGGAGGCGGAGGCGCCATGCGCGATGTGAAGGGTCCCGGGGAGGCGCGGAGGTTTTGGAAGGAGGAGGGGGTTGGGTGAGATGGGGGAGGGAGATGGAGGGGGGGTGTGGGGGGATCAGGGGGGTGTGAGATGGGGGAAGGAGATGGGGGGGGATCAGGGGGGTGTGAGGGGGGGGGGGGTCTCTGTGCAGTGCGCGCCCCCGGGATGTGATCTATACACGGGCAGTGAGCGATGACGTCTCCTCCGGGCATCACCTCGCCTCCAATCCCCTCTCCTCGTTCTCGCCACCTCGTCACCCTGAACCCCTTCCTCGTCGCCTTTCACGATCGCCTCACCTCATCCCCCTCGTTCTACCTTCATCGCCGCCCACCTCCTCGCGTCTCCCTGTCCCCTCGCTCCCCTCGCACTCCTCCTCCTAGCCGCACGTGGTTTACTCACAGCGAAACACTGGGACCCCCACCACCACCACCCACCACCACCTCTTCGTCTTCTTCGTCAGCTGCGATGAGGAGTCAGTCACAAGGCGGTGCTTGTTTGTCCCCTTCACGCATCTACTTTGCGTGAGGGGTGGGGGGGGTGGAACATTCAAACACCACGAAAATAACAGAGCCCGTGTCAAGAATTGAACCCAGGCGCTCTTGATGCGAGGTTCAAGTGTTGGCACAGCGACGCGCTGCCGCCCCAAGGCGACACGACTTGGTTGACGTGCGATGCCCAAGTGCAAAGCAACTTCACCATGACCGCGAATGCTTCCCTACATCTTTAAAGTGTCAGAATTGTGCTCCCCAAATCGTAGAGCCACCCCAACCCTGACCTGGTCTCTCCCACACACTCTTGACTATCTCCTCACCCTATCTCCCACACACTCCTCACCCTATCTCCCACACACTCTTGACTATCTACTCACCCTATCTCCCACACACTCTTGACTATCTCCCACACACTCTTGACTATCTCCCACACACTCTTGACTATCTCCCACACACTCTTGACTATCTCCTCACCCTATCTCCCACACACTCTTGACTATCTCCTCACCCTATCTCCCACACACTCCTCACACTATCTCCCACACACTCTTGACTATCTCCTCACCCTATCTCCCACACACTCTTGACTATCTCCTCATCCTATCGCCCATACATTGTGTAAAACTCATCAACCTGTCACCAGCCCCTGCCTAACAAATGCTACAGCCTCACCCCTAACCCTCACTATCCCTCACCCCTAACCCTCACTATCCCTCACCCCTGACCTTCACTATCCCTCACCCCTAACCCTCACTATGCCTCACCCCTAACCCTCACTATCCCTCACCCCTAACCCTCACTATCCCTCACCCCTAACCCTCACTATCCCTCACCCCTAACCCTCACTATCCCTCACCCCTAACCCTCACTATCCCTCACCCCTAACCCTCACTATCCCTCAACCCTGACCCTCACTATCCCTCACCCGTGACCCTCACTATCCCTCGCCCGTGACCCTCACTATCCCTGCTGTTTGCGTGGTAGTTTGTTGTCCTTCCTCCGCACCTCCGATTAGCGCGGTTGGCTCCGTACGGTGCGAAAGAAGTCCAACACACACACATACATACTGTGTGTCAACCCATGGCACCAGAGTCTATCCCGTGACCCGCTGCTTGCTGCCAGCAGCGAGAGCCTCCCACGCTTCACGCGACGGCCTCAAGGTGCACCTAGCCTGGCACAAGCGCTTTGTTCCGACTTCACCCACGGGGCTTCTTCTCGGCAGGCCCCAGTGGAGGCGTCGTCTCAGGCTCGACTCCGCGCGTGCGTCCACCTCCTCCACGTCCTCCTCCACCTCCTCCTCCCGTCTCCTCTCGGTGTCGTTCCAAGCGCTTCTTTTACGCACTTCCCAGTGTTCGTTCCACGCTCTCATCCGTCTGAGCCACCGACGCCGGCTCTTGGGTCGAGCGGCTCAGGCGCAGCCCCTGCAATCGCTCGCTCTACGCCTCTGCCAGCGGAAGCTCCTTGGCGAGAGGGAGCACGGGAGAGGCCCGTCTCGAGTGGCGTCTGGCCGGGAGTTCAACGCTGGCCAGGAGGTCTTGGAAGACGTCGGAGGATACGCACACTCGACACCCCTTTAAGACGCCAAACAAACGGTGATCCCATTACATCTGCCGGGTGGACAGAGGCCGGCCGGACGGGGGTGGGGTGGGGGGGAGTAAGGAACTCGCACCGTTGTTTCGACTGCCGCGACGGGAGATTGCGCCCGCGACCTCTGCCTTGCCAGGACCACGTGGGCCTCTCAGTCTCTAAGCTGTAGGCACGGGGGCCACTCGCCGTGTCTCGCGTTTTTAGGGGGGGGTGGGGGGGGCAGGGGACCCCCTCCGACTTCCCTGGCGCTTTCCCACGCCGAGGCGGCGGGGATAGAGGGGGGCTCGAGGAGAGGAGCGTTGGAGGGTTGTGGGGGTCCGTGCCCCCCCCCCCCCCCCGAGGGCTATCACATGAGCAGCGGCGTGACCGGACCGGGCGCTCTCGGACCCCACGTGTGCACAGGGGCCCCTTTGTTCCCGGGGCCTCTCCCGCCTCCGACCCCTGTCCGCGTGCCTCCTTGCCCCGGGGCTCCTGGTTGTCCCCCCCCAACACCGCCGCCCCCTCCCCCCTGACCCGCCCAGCAAGAGCCTCTTCCCTCAGGGCCCACGGGGTCCCTAAGTGCCCTCGGGGCACCGGTGTACAGGTGACACACGTGGTGTAAGTTAGACACCGCGTAGAGGTGAGACACGTGTACACGTGACACACGAGGTGTAAGTTAGACACCGTGTAGAGGTGGGACACGTGTACACGTGACACACGTGGTGTAAGTTAGACACCGTGTAGTGGTGAGACACGTGTACACGTGACACACGAGGTGTAAGTTAGACACCGTGTAGAGGTGGGACACGTGTACACGTGACACACGAGGTGTAAGTTAGACACCGTGTAGAGGTGAGACACGTGTACACGTGACACACGTGGTGTAAGTTAGACACCGTGTAGAGGTGGGACACGTGTACACGTGACACACGAGGTGTAAGTTAGACACCGTGTAGAGGTGGGACACGTGTACACGTGACACACGTGGTGTAAGTTAGACACCGTGTAGTGGTGAGACACGTGTACACGTGACACACGAGGTGTAAGTTAGACACCGTGTAGTGGTGAGACACGTGTACACGTGACACACGAGGTGTAAGTTAGACACCGTGTAGAGGTGGCGGTGTAAGTTAGACACCGTGTAGAGGTGGGACACGTGTACACGTGACCACGAGGTGTAAGTTAAGACACGCGTTAGAGGTGAGACACGTGTACGTGACACACGAGGTGTAAGTTAGACACCGCGTAGAGGTGGACACGTGTACACGTGACACACGTGGTGTAAGTTAGACACCGTGTAGTGGTAGACACGTGTACACGTGACACACGGTGTAAGTTAGACACCGTATAGGTGGAGACACGTGTACAGGTGACACACGTGGTGTAAGTTAGACACCGCGTAAGGTGAGACACGTGTACACGTGACACACGTGGTGTAAGTTAGACACCGTCTAGAGGTGGGACACGTGTACACGTGACACACGGTGTGTAAGTTAGACACGCGTAGAGGGTGAGACACGTGTACAGGCGACACACGAGGTGTAAGTTAGACACCGTGGTGAGACACGCGTGTACAGGTGACACACGAGGTGTAAGTTAGACACCGTGTAGAGGGGGACACGTGTACACGTGACACACGAGGTGTAAGTTAGACACCGTGTAGAGGTGGGACTCACAAAGCCGTCTCTAGGGTACGGCGAATGGGGGGGGGGGGGGGGGGGGGGGCTGCCGGAGCTTAGACGAAAACGGTGTCAGATGTCAGACTGTACTTCTGGTTTAGTTTGAAGGCGTCGGAGGGGGCCCCACAAGGTGTGATTTGCCCCGGGGCCCCCCACACCCTCTATGTACAGGTGACGCGCGGTTACAGGTGAGATCCCTGAGCTGAGCTACTGCTGAGGAACCCCAGCGGAGGAGGACGAGGCGGGGGGGTGCGGGCGGCCGACCACACCCCGCGACCCCCCCCCCCCCGAGGTCCCGACCCCCCACGCCTCGCATTGGGGTGAGTGGCGGGGAGCTGCCACGAAGCAAACGGCAATGAAGCTTCGTCCGGAGCGACTTGGGCAATTGTTTGACTTGGGCAGAGAGAGAGGGGAGGACTGGAGAGGAGGGGGGGGGCGTCTCCGATAGACGCGGTCAGAAGCCAGGGTCCCGTTGGGTGCCGTGGGGTCACGTGTGTGTGTCAGTGCGCACGTGTGCGTGTTAGTGAGCATTTGTGTTTGTCAGTGAGCACGTGTGTATCAGTGAGCACGTGTGTCAGTGAGCACGTGCGTGACAGTGTGCACGTGTGTAACAGTGAGCACGTGTGTATCAGTGAGCACGTGCGTATCAGTGAGCACGTGTGTGTCAGTGAGCACGTGTGTATCAGTGAGCACGTGTGACAGTGAGCACGTGTGTATCAGTGAGCACGTGTGTATCAGTGAGCACGTGTGTATCAGTGTGCACTTGTGTGACAGTGTGCACGTGTGTGTCAGTGAGCACCTGTATCAGTGTGCACGTGTGTGATAGTGTGCACGTGTGTGTCAGTGAGCACGTGTGTATCAGTGAACACGTGTGTGTCAATGAGCACGCGTGTGTCAGTGAGCACGTGTGTGTCAGTGAGGACGTGTGTATCAGTGTGCACGTGTGTGACAGTGAGCACGTGTATCAGTGAGCACGTGTATAAGTGAGCACTTGTGTCAGTGAGCACGTGTGTATCAGTGAGCACGTGTATCAGTGTGCACGTGTGTGACAGTGTGCACGTGTGTGTCAATGAGCACGTGTGTGTCAATGAGCACGTGTATCAGTGAGCACGTGTATCAGTGAGCACGTGTATCAGTGAGCACGTGTATCAGTGTGTACGTGTGTGACAGTGTGCACGTGTGTGTCAATGAGCACGCGTGTGTCAGTGAGCATGTGTGTATCAGTGAGCACGTGTGTGTCAGTGAGGACGTGTGTGTCAGTGAGCACGTGTGTCTTTGTCAGT